CTCCAGACCTCAACCCCATAGAAAATCTGTGGCGGGAGTTGAAAGTCCGTGTTGCTCGGCGACAACCCCAAAACATCACTGCTCTCGAGAAGATCTGCATGGAGGAATGGGCCAAAATACCAGCTACTGTGTGTGCAAACCTGGTAAAGACCTATAGTAAACGTTTGACCTCTGTTATTGCAAACAAAGGTTATGTTACAAAGTATTGAGTTGTATTTTTGTTATTGACCAAATACTTATTTTCCACCCTGATTTACGAATAAATTCTTTACAAATCCTACCATGTGGATTCATGGATTTTTTTTTTCACATTCTGTCTCTCACAGTTGAAGTGTACCTCTGGTGCAAATTACTGACCTCTGTCATCATTTTAGGTGGGGGAACTTGCACAATCGGTGGCTGACTAAATACTTTTTTGCCCCACTGTATGCTCACATTGGTTACTGCTATAATTTTGAGACACTCACATAGCATAGTCCAGACCTTCCCAAAGTGTGGGGCCCGCCCCCTGGAGGGGGGGGGGGGGGGCGCAGAGCCATTGCACGGGGGCCACGGTATGAAAAGGAAAAAACAAAACAAAAAAAACCCAAAGCTTGGACACTGCTAGAACGGGGCGCCTCCACAAACACAAATCAGGAGATGAAGCATTGCTGAGCCAAAGACTAGAAAATATGGTGAAGCATATCTTCCCTTTGGCTTCACCTGCACAAGTGCGAGGTAGGTCTCCCCTGTAGAATTGGTTTCCCTTCGTCGGGAGCATGGGCTGGGTTCTTCAAATCACGGACAAACAGTATCCCACATTCTTTTATTTTTAGTTCACAAACACTTGTTGTAATGACTAACTACTCCTGACATTTTGGAGATGTTAGCTCTTTATACAGTAAAGTTACAGCGGGATACATCAGGCTGATCCTGCCACAATTTGCTCCCCTGTACAAATCACGGACAAACAGTATCCAACAGTTGTTTATGTTTTTGAATCCATTTTGCAGAGGGATTGAAAAATGTATTGATAGCAATGTTGAATATATTACACAGGAAAAAAAACAACTACACGTAAAATAATCACATCGTGACGCCTCTGCCTTTCTAAATAGAAGGACAGTAACTGCGTGTGTGTATGTAAGTGTGTAAAACCTGAAGATTGTAAGATTAACACTCTCTAATTTCTACCACTACCATGCTTACTCTGTTACGTCGAACGTTAAAACTTCATGGCAAGTTGGGAGACATGAAATCACCTATTTGTGTGACAAATAAAAAAATCAACATGTTTATGATTTGTGGAAATAACTGTATACATTCTGTTTATTATCACACAGACAAGTTTTACAAGCCTATTAATCACAGTAGAGTTCATTGCGTTGGTGGATTAAAGGCTTCATTGTTCTCATTGTGCATCAGCAGAGTGTTTTTTCTCTGTCATTAAAAAACTACAGATGAAAAAAAAAGATTATATATCATAATCAACATCATATTAAGATGGTCGCAACTATGTTTTCGGTATCATTTCAAAATGAACAGAATTTTATGTGCATGGATAAGAAGACAAACTTTGAAATGCCCGTAAAGGTTAACATACGTCACGGGGTGTGTTCCAGAAAATGAAAGTAAAACATAAGAAAGGACAAAGAGTTTTTTTGTCTCTGTAGGACATCTGTTGGTTTGTAGCGGTAATGTCAGCTTTTGAAGTTTTTATTTAGTAAGAATGTTTTTTTTCCTGTTGTATAAAATGATTTTAAGTTGAACACCTGCGCTGAAGCAGTATCTTGGTCAGACTTGTTATGGATCATTTTCACTTTCTTTGCCTCTGTCATGACCTCTATCATGTGCTGTAACATTAATAAAAACTTCACCAAAGATAAAGTGCAAAGTGTAGCTTTTCATACAGGTCAAATAAATAATCTTATGCTATACTGACAAAATATTAAAGAAACATTTTTTAATTCAACACTCAAACGCTTCATGCTTTTTGTTTCCACTGATGTGTGTTTGGATTAGAGTTGGATCATTTTTGTTCTCAACAAATCACCGAGAGTAAGTCAGTAAAGATTTCCAACTTAAATATTTCAAGCTCAGGAGTGTTCCCTTAATAGTTCTGATCTATAAATACACCTTTACAGGAAATGTCCCAGTTAGAGCTGATCACACTGGGTGTGTTCATAATGAAAAACACCCTTTGTTGGTATGGTGAAGTGCAAATGCAAATCAAAGGTGAGAGCACTTTTCACTGTGGAGCTAGTTTGAAAGACATTGAAAGCTTCTCCAGATCAGGATTTGAAGCAAAATGGATGAATGTCTGCACCCAGTGTTCTTTGAAGCTGAGGAGCTCACAGACAGTGAGAAGGAGAAGATCAGGAGATACTTTCAGAAAAAAAGACATTCTGGGGGAGGTGACTGTGGGATGATAGAAAAGGTCGGAGATAAAACCTACCGGATCTGTTTTAAGGAAAAAGAAGGTAAGAAGCCCTGCTGGGTTCAAATGCATTACAAGTAGATTAGAGCCCAAATTTACAGTTTAGATATGTGCATTCCCATAACAGCTGAACTTTGTTTTTCTGATATACTTTAGATCAAGAGCATGTTTTGAGAAGAAACACACACACCATCAATTTTAATGGTCGAGATTTAAATATAACATTGAGTGAATCTAGTCCTAGCCATGGATCTGCAAATCTCCCACAGGTGCGGTTACACTTATTACTGCTTTTACTTTCATAATAATAATGACAGGTGTTTGACAAACCCCAACCATAAAAAAAAAACAACAACACTGGTTTTCTTTTGCAATACTACATTTGCATAGGGGCTGCCAAGTGAGTAGGGTACTAACAGTGCGCCACACATTCAGTTTGCTTATTTGTCAAGAGGACAACAAAATACAATGACCAAAATAATTGTAGAGAACTAAATGTGTAAGTCTTGGTTACTGTTTTACCTCATATTAACCTAATACTTATATGCAACAGTTGTAACATTTACACTGCATTTATTCAGTGTGTGTGTGTGTGTGAGTGTACTCTTATTTGGGAGGCAACAGAAGTCAAGCATTGCTTTCCTATGCAGTCAAAAATGTCATAATTTTAAATTCACTTTATAAGCAGTTATTTTTTCTAACTCTGAGCTCAGTAACCTTCTGCTGTTTGAATAATGGCAAAACATACAAAACAAACCAAAGCAAACAAAGTCACCGTCTGACCAGCCAAACCAGTTTTGAACACCTGCGTTTTGAATGCTCTATGAGTTACTCAGGCATGAGGCACTTTAATTAGATATGCATGCCTATTGTTACTTAAAATGGTTTATCCACTGATCCATACATCTATTCTCTTCAGCTTAACCGTATCAGTGCTGTTGGGGGTGGGGGCTGGAGTTGTACTGTTTCTATTTGTCTAAAATTATTTTTCTTTTGTAGACAGCTAAAGGTCTTCAGAAGACTTTCTCCTTGGATATTTTCCTGCTTTATTACCTGAGAGACAACCTCAAAGCATTCAAAATTCTGAAAAAGCAGCTATCTTCAGTCGGCTGCACGGTGGAGTTTAATTTTGAGGAGGAGAAGGCTGTAGTTAGAGAGGACATGAGGAAAGGGCCAGGAGGATGCTCTGCAGAGAAAGTGGAGCAACAGCTGGCTTGGGTCTTCACCAGTCTCATCGACACCTACCTCTGCTATCATGTGGTCAAACCAAAACAAGTGAAAATGGTACTGCAGGACTCGGCCTTTAAGACAGATGATATCAAAGTTTACACAGAGAGTGGCTATGCTGTGGTTGTGGGAGAGGTTGATGTTGTGAAGGAGAAGATTGCAATTCTGAAAAAAAGCCTACCCACCAAAAAAGAGCTGCCACTTGTAGAGAAATTGTTCAAGCTCGTAGAAGAAGAGTTCAATCGAGAAATGTTCGCTAACTATCCAGATGTTAAAGTCGTCAGAGGTAGTGCCACAATCACTTTGGAGGGCCCTGACAAAGAGGTGCAGTCAGGAGCTGCAAAACTAGATGAACTGATTAAGAACATAAAGGAAAAAAGAGTCAAGTTCCCCACAGCTCTGCTAACCTTCATCAAAACCAGTGGAGCCATCTCCAAATACCAAGCTCGTTTCCAGCAGAGCCTCAGAAACCCTGTTTTCTTTGAGGTGGGTTCAGATCTGGTTCTGTCCAGTTTGTCCTCTGATGCTCTGAATGAGGCCGAGGCAGCAGTGATGAGAGACCTTAAATCGGATATTATAGAGCTGCAGGGAGCTGCAGCAGTACCTCCAGATTTAGACAGAGTGAAGGAAATCCTGATGAAAGCGAAGAAAGAAGCAAACATTAGTGAGCTCAGAGTGGATGTGAGCTTCATTCCAGGAGCCAGAGGAACTGCAATGACCAAAGTACGACTGGTGGGCTACAGTGAGGATGTTAACAAGCTCAATGAGGTCCTTCATGGTTTCCAAAAGAATGAAGTTGATATTCAAGAAGTGGTAAACTTGTCACATCCTGAACTGGTTGACTGCTTTGATAAAGTATTAGGCCTGATCGGTATGAAGCAATCTAATGTGACCTTGGAAGCCTCACATGTTCCACATCCCTGTGTGCTGGTGAAGGGTCCTCGTTCTCTGGTTCAGAAAGTTCGAACAGACTTAGCCACGAGTCTAGCGCAGCTGTCAACAGATACAGTGGTGTTAAATGAACTGGCGGTGCAGTGGTACTTTCAGGGAGATGGCAGACAAAACACAGAACTGGTGGAGAGATCCTGTCAGGTCCTCATCAGAGAAAAACAACATCTTCAAAGTACTGGAACTACATCAAATTTGTACTAAAGATCACAATACAGCAACAACATGAGACAAATATTAAACGTAATCTGCTCTTCTTCCTCTCAGCGCCCACGAGTGACCTTGCTGACATCACCATAACTCTGAAAGGCAGAGTTAAACTACAAGTGATGTTTGGTGACATCACTAATGAGACTACAGATGCTGTGGTGAACACAACAGACTTCAAAGACTTTCAGACAGGTAAAGTACTGTCATGAGTAAACAAAAGTTACTCATTGCTGAACACCATCCAAGCACGATAAATTAGACAAGACCCATTGTGTATTAAAGAGGATATTGTAGGAGCACTGACTGGCCTTTACAGTCCATTTGCATTACAACAATTTCAGTGATGGTTATTATTATTATTATTATTATTATTATTATTTATGTACAGATGGAGTGTGCAAAGACATCTTAAGAAAGGCTGGGCCTCAGGTTGAGGCTGCACTAAAAAACAGTGAGAAGAATGATTCTCAGAAATATTTCCAAATTTATATTTACATCGTAAATCATTTCTAACAATTCGTATCATCTCATGTGTCTTTATCGCATCCATGCAGGAAAAGTGAACAGTGGAGAGATTTTGGAAACACCGCCTGGCATGTTCCCTTGTAAAGCCATTTTACACGTGTGTGGAGAAAAAGATACAGTTGCCATCGAGCAGCTGCTTCGTCGCATCATTCAACTTTGTGAGTCTTCTGATTACAAGTCTTTGGCTGTTCCTGCCATCTGTGCTGGTGAGTAGTGTGGGAGTCATTAAAGATGCATAAAACAACAAAGTTAGTTATGGAGTTTTGTTTGAATGGTTGTCCAGGATCTGGTGGATTGGACCCCGATTCTGTGGCACATGCCATCCTCCAAGGGGTTAAGACTGCTGCCTCGTCCCATCCTCTCCAGCGTCTCACCAACATTCGCCTTGTACTCAACAAGCTCACTGTGTTCCTGGCATTTAAAAAGAAAGCAATGCAGATGTTTCCCTTTGCTGTGATCAACTCAGGTAATGCAAAGTCAACTTTTCTTTGATAATACCACTGTCCTTTGATTTTATTTAAAGCTTACTTACTGTTGTTTTAACCACTTTACAGTGTCAGCTTATGCCCTGCAATGCTTTAATATTCAAGTAATGAACGACCCAAGGATCTCTCATATCAGCTCTACTGCCCAGCAGTCTGCTTTCTTGATTGTAGGTCTGTGCAGAAAAAATGTTGATGATGCCATTGCAATGCTCGGGAGAGTGTATCAACCCCTGCAGTCAACACAAACCAAGCAGGAGGAGAAAAGTTATTCTTGGGACTGTTTTTTAATGTAGGCTTCTCTGGGTTGTTGGACAGTGTCATGTAATTATTTTCTTATTATATTGTTTATTATTATATTATTATATTGTACTTTATTAATGAAGGTTTGCAAAGCAAGGCCACTTTTGACTCATAAACTAAGTGCTCAGCCAGACTGAAAAACAGGAAGTTAGTGTAGAGCTATACAAGCATATTAATAAATACAGGAAGCCAGACAGAAAAGAGGAACTTTGCCATATAAGGAATTTTGTATCGAAACTGTGTGTTATGATGATTTCTGATATGAGGTTCAGTTGTGGTGGTGATCGCAGGGTGTGCACAGGTCAAGTGCCACTATGACCCTCCAGAAAATAACGAGGACAGGGGATGATCGTTCAGCTCTTTAATGGCAGATTTAGCGTGGGTGTGGGTATGTGTGTGGTTCTACAAACAGAATGGAAAATAGAACACAAATTACAATCAAATTATAGACAACAATAATCACCATATAACATATTACAGCCACATACTTGTCTTATAGGCCCTAATACTAAGCTGGCGGCTTTTACTTATAGTCTGAACCATATTTGACAACAAAGAAAATAAACATCTTCCCATCACTTAACTCTTGTGCCCCACTCACTTATGATGCCAACTAAAGAAGGCAAATACACATAACAAATCACCAACTCAAACTGAACTCAGTTTGGCCTAGGCGAACTTAGCTTAGCTTAGCTTAGCGATAACTTAGCTTATAGAAAATGTACAAACAGAGGACGTCCAGAGCAAGAAAACATACAGGCTATCCTTCTTACACAAGAAATATCCTGTAACTCACCAGTCTTATGGACGCACACTCTCATTGAACCCACATAAACTGCTCCCGAGCATAACTTGTGATTCACACTGCCTTCATGAACACCATTTTCCATCCCAGTCAAACATTACTCACAAAACGGCCGCGCCCTCTAGTGGCGAGGCAGAAAACTGCATCACAGTCCTGCCTTCAGAACACTGTGTGACGTGTAAAGTACCAAAATAATACCTATATGAGACACAGTTTATGATTCTAATGTTAGAGATCCTGCAACTGGCATTTGGGCTGTGCAGGGGTCTCTCTCTTCCGGAAGATGATTGAATAAAAAGAAATATAAATGTTTTAACACACTATGAGTCGGTTTTCTCTGTTCTATCATGGGGACAAAAGAATCGGGGTTTAATAACAGGTAATCCTTTATTTTTCTTTCTCTTTTGTTCTTTAATATGTGGTCAGAATGATTTACGTATGTTCAGTTACAATATGTACTGTTATATTGTTCAGATTTATGCACAGCTCTACCAAAAGGGTGTTTCTTATGTTTATTCTAAATAAGTGACTGTAGAGTATTTTTCTTTTGCACAATGTTGTAGAATTACAAACAGCCTACACAGTAAAAATGTGAAACATACATATTCAGTGTCTTGTACTCACTTACTTCCCTAACTACAGGAATGTCTAACTTTTCTGTAGATTTTACTGTACTTGGCTGTACAAAAAGTGTATAGTGCTGTCTTGAGCTTTTTCAGGTAGTGTCACCGAATTCTGACCTTTTTTGCATTGGAAAACACAGAGAGAATACTGTGAACTGTCATAATGAAAACATGACAAAGCCATTTGACTATCTTGTTCATAAAGATGGTGTCAAGACTTCTCACTTTGATAACACCGACAGTTTCATTGACATGGATACTTGATTTTGAGGAATGGATTATTGATTTTGAGCAAGTGACCTGCTTTTGCAGCTTATCCACTAGGTTTTGCAGTTTGCACCAAACGTTTTGAGAAATACACTAACTGCTGTGCAAATGTTAATAGTGATGTGAGAAAAGCACCAAAGCAACTGAGAAAAACTGTAAACAAGGAAATGCACCGCAAAATACAGTTACAACCTCAAAATGTGGGTGAAAGCACTGCACAATATTCATGGTATAGCTTTAAAATGCTGACATTGTCAGAGCTTCTGTTTCTGATCTGAATAACATAAGACATCAAGCAAGAGGGATGAAAAGCTGAGTGATTTTGATATTCATGGAGCTCAGATGTAGTGTGTTTCAGTAGGCTGTGAGGACTGTGGATAGATAGATAGATAGATAGATAGATAGATAGATAGATAGATAGATAGATAGATAGATAGATAGATAGATAGATAGATAGATAGATAGATAGATAGATAGATAGATAGATAGATAGATAGATAGATAAAATCAATAAGCTCCTCATTAGACAAACACAAATCATCACAATAGTCAGGCGTCATTATTAACATCACGTTTTGATGTTCAGTGTTTTCAGCATAATTTGAAAAAGAAAAGACACATACTTGCACAACAAGAAAAACTGTAAAATACCCTTTAAGGTTAACATTAGGTGTGTCTACTTGTAAATGAAAGGAGGAGGAACTTTACTGAAAGTAGACGATGAAAAAGGGTTTCAGTGCGCATTTTCACACAGAGCAGTGACACAAAAGGGAGTTAACTGTATCCAAGTGTCTCCTTTTAGTTTAGAATATTAGGGGAAATGGATAAATACACACATCCCCTGTTTTTTGAAGTCAAAGGTCTCTCTGGCAATGATATTCAGGATATCTGGAGATACTTTCAGAGAGGAGAAGACTCTGGAGGTGGTGAGTGTGGAATTCCTGCAGAGGTTGAAGGCAACACCTATAAAATCTGTTTCAAGGACAAAGAAGGTATTTTTTTATTTATGTAAACAAGAATATGTGTAAACAGTTTAAACTCATGCTAATACCTCTGTGACCATGTCCATATTCACAGGCCTGCATATAATCGTGTTGAATGATGTTCACCATCTTAACTGAATATTAGAAGAGCTAAAAAAGCTAAAGAACAATATGCTGCCCTAAGTTACTTGCGATTCTTTGTTTCTTTCATTCTTGCAGTTACATTTTTAAATGTGAGATTTTGTCCGTGACATGTGGTGACTGAATTTAGCTGTTTTGACAGTTCAGGAGCGGGTTTTGCTGAGAAAGTTTCATGCCATCTCTATTTCTGGTGGAAAACAGTATTTAACAGTGAGCCAAGCAAGTTTACCTCCACAGACCCTCAATCAGTCAGCGACCAGTCAGTCACAGGTAAGTTTTCTTTTTCCTTTTTCCTAAGGAAACCTTGCACTATGTACTGTCAGGTAATCTGACCTGACCAGTTTGGGTGGATTCCTGAAAGGTGCAGGCATTCAAAAAAGGCACCCAAAGCAAAATCCAAACATGCGCCATGTCTGATTAATAGAAATGCAGTTTTATCCAACACTAAGATAATGAATCAGCTGGGAAACATGTACTCTGATTACATCTCTGAGTTTATTTATGATCAGTTTAGTTACATTTTATTAGGTTCCCTTGAGTCTTTGTCCTCTGTGCTCCTCTCGGTGTGTCTCTGTTTATGTGTTCATGTGTTCTCCCCAGCCCATCTTGTCCTCTGTATGTGCTCCTTAGTTATGTCCACATCTCGTCTCCCATTCTCACTGCCCTGTTCCCTTGTTAAGTCAGAGTGTCTTAGTCTGCCTTTTTCCCATTTTATTTTTACATGGTCTTTGTGCAGTGTGTTTAGTTTTGCTTCCTGGTGTCATGTTCGTTTGTATCAGTTTTGTTCCCCGTGTGTTTCCACTTCCCCTGGAAACCTCCTGTCTATATATATTGTGTTTTCCCTCAACCTTTATTGTCGTGTCTGTTTTTTCCACCATGGCTCTTCTGTGTTCCTTCCCAAGTTTACGAGGTTTAACCAGGCTTTTCTAGTAATGGGTAATTGTCTTGTTTTCTTAATTTCCCCAGTTCAGGCGATTGATCCTCTGTTTAGTTTATAATTTATGTTTTTCTCGTTCAGGATATCTGCCTAAATAAATGGCACGGTTTCAGTTAAATTCCAGTTCCCGTCTGTGCTCTGCGTTTCGGTCCTCACATAAACAATCCATGCAATTTGCCTTCACATATCGTGTCAGTTTCCTGCTCTTAGCTGACAGGAGTGGCACTCGGTGCAGTCTCCTGCTGGTTTACCCCATCTGCTTCAAGTGACGTGTTGTGTATTCGGAGATGCTCTTTTGCATACTTTAGTTGTGACAAATTATTTGAGTTATTTTTGCCTTCCTATCAGAGACTATTGCGCAGGAAATTTTCTGTAGATCAGCAATATTTGTACTAATTGTACTTAGTACAGTTAGTATCCACATATGTTGACTTGTTGATTTGTAAAAATGGAAATAAATAACAAAAATAAAATAAAACTGCCAAAAAACAACAAAAAACCTGTCATCTGCTACTGACCAAACTGCTTTTAATCATTGGCCTAAACTTTCACAATTAGTGATACTGCAGACTCTATTTTACCAGAACCAAAGCATTTTAGAAAGTGGAAGCCTTCTATAAACTTAGATAACTTACATTCACCTATAACTTGGATAGACATTTGAAAAAGAACAACCAATTTGGTCAATAACACTCAGTCCATGTAAGCTTATCTCTTATGTTTTTTATTTTTATTTTTTATTATCTCTTATGTTTAATGTTTATGTATTTTTTAAATGTAGAATTCTTATTGGTTTTCAAGCATAACGTGATAAATGTGCTTTTTTTTGGTTCTTTCTCAGGCACCAACAAAAGTGATCACAAAACATCTCGAGAGGACATTTAACGTAGATATTTTCCTCCTGTATTATCTAAGAGATAAACCCAAGGCATTAAAAATTCTCCAGAAGCAGCTCTCTTATATCGGCTGCACGGTGGAATTAAAATTTGATGATGAAAATGTTGTAGTTAGAGGTGACAGTCAGAGTCAGCCAGGATGCCCTGCAGAGAAACAGGAGCTACAGCTGGATCAGATTTTCAGCCGTTTCAATGAGAACTATCTCTGCTATCATGTATTTGAGCCAAAAAAGATCAAGATGCTGCTGCAAGACTCCTCCCTCAAGATAGATGACATCAAAGTGTACAATGAGAATGGCTATGCTGTGGTTGTGGGAGAGGTCCATGCTGTGAAGGAGAAGATTGCAGATCTGGAAAACATTCAATACACCAAAAAAGAGCTGCCAATTGTGGAGAAGCAGTACAGGCGTATAGAAGAAGAGTTCAATCGAGAAATGTTCGCTAACTATCCAGATGTTAAAGTCGTCAGAGGTAGTGCCACAATCACTTTGGAGGGCCCTGACACAGATGTGCAGTCAGGAGCTGCAAAACTAGATGAACTGATTAAGAACATAAAGGAAAAAAGAGTCAAGTTCCCCACAGCTCTGCTAACCTTCATCAAAACCAGTGGAGCCATCTCCAAATACCAAGCTCGTTTCCAGCAGAGCCTCAGAAACCCTGTTTTCTTTGAGGTGGGTTCAGATGTGGTTCTGTCCAGTTTGTCCTCTGATGCTCTGAATGAGGCTGAGGCAGCAGTGATGAGAGAGCTCAAAGTGGCCACTGTAAAACTGCAGGGGGCTGCAGCAGTACCTCCAGATTTAGACAGAGTGAAGGAAATCCTGATGAAAGCGAAGAAAGAAGCAAACATTAGTGAGCTCAGAGTGGATGTGAGCTTCATGCCAGGAGTTACTGGAACTGCAATAACTAAAGTACGACTGGTGGGCTACAGTGAGGATGTTAACAAGCTCAATGAGGTCCTTCATGGTTTCCAAAAGAATGAAGTTGATATTCAAGAAGTGGTAAACTTGTCACATCCTGAACTGGTTGACTGCTTCGATAAATTGTTAGACCTGATTGGCATGAAGCAATCTAATGTGACCTTGGAAGCCTCACATGTTCCACATCCCTGTGTGCTGGTGAAGGGTCCTCGTTCTCTGGTTCAGAAAGTTCAGACAGACTTAGCCACGAGTCTAGCGCAGCTGTCAACTGATACGGTGGTGTTAAATGGACCGGGGGTGCAATTGTACTTCCAGGAAGAAGGCAGACAAAACAAAGAGCTGTTAGAGAGATCCTGTCAGGTCATCATCAGGGAACAACAAGAAGTCTATTCTCAAAGTACCACAAGTGTGTCTGATCTTTACCCAGAGCCACTATACATTAACGTCATCAGCTCCAACCCAGACAGACTGGAAAGCAACACTGCCAGAAGTACACCAAACACAACAGCTGTTAACAAAACAAACCTGGAGATCAAGCTTAGCACTTTGGAAGATGAACAGGTTAAACAAATATATTCTAAACAATTTC